GGGCAGCCCGGGGCGCAAAGGATGTACAAGCAGTCAATGGCGCAGAGAGCGCGGACCATGGCCCTCTACAACCCCATCCCCGTCCGACAGAACTGCCTCACGGTCAACCGGTCTCTGTTCCTCTTCAGCGAGGACAACGTGGTGAGAAAATACGCCAAAAAGATCACCGAATGGCCATATCCTTTGCCCGAAGCCCGGCAGCTGCGCCTCCCCCTCCTCCCTCCGCTTCCCCTCTTCCAGGCTGGGAGGGAGACCCGGGGGTTGATGGGAGGTGGGGGGGTCTTCCAGGGGCTGGGAGAGGGGGCACCGGGGAGGAGTGTGTGGAGTCTCTCCACCCCGAGCGGGGTTGAGCTACGGTGCAGGCTTGGGGTGGGGGGACCCGGGGAGTGGATTTCTCCGAAGAACCTCTTCCAGAAGGAGGGCTGGGCCCTGGGGTCGAGCAGGGGCCTTGGTGGGGCCTTTAGACCCAGTTCCAAAGGGGTTAGGGTTCTCCCTAATGAGCCGGGGCCGCGGCCTGAGCGCACTGGCCAGGGCCGGGGAGCCATGGGGGCACTGGCTGGGTATCCTTAGTCTCCCCTCACCAGCATTTGCGGTTGCCACAGAGCCAGAGCCCCATGCCAGCTCGCTGGCCTGTCCACCGGCCTTCCCCAGGTGGGGGCCGCACTCTTGGGGGTACTTAGAGGTTTCAGGGCCAGGAGTGAGGAGGAGAACATGTGGCCTTCACCCTGAGGGGCCAGCACTGGCCTGAGTGGGCCGCTAGCCTGGACAGGTGGAGGGCACTTCATCTCCCATGTCCTCTCATCTTTTGGGGTGTCGAAAGCATCCCAGTGGCCCCATCTGGGGCCCTGACCTGGAAGACCCAGTATGAGCTCTCTCGGGAGGAAAGGTAGGGCAGGAGAAAATGTTGGGTCCTGCCTAGAGGGCCGTGCCAGGCCCTGGGCTGGATTCAGCTTCTCCCACCATTGGGAGCCGCGAGGGGACAGCAGGAGAATCAGCACCCATGTGGACATCTCAGGCAGGTAAACGCCTTTTTCTTTTTTTTAAACCAAAAGATCCAGAGAAAGGTGAAGACCACATTTTCCTCTGTTCAGATGCTATCAAAATGCAGATCCCCGGTGTTTCTTTAAATCTGTGCCTGCTTGAAATAAACCTTAAGGAGGGCTTAACATCTGTTGAGATGTAGGCAGGCAAGGATGGGTAATTAGTCGGGCTCTCTAGCAGTTATCTAAGCATGACCCAGATTCCAAGGGGGGGGGGGACGCACCCTGCTCCCCAGGCTGGCTGGCCACCGTGTCATGCCCAAATGTGCCACTTCTTGGCAAGGTTCCAACCGGCTGCTCTCAGTGTAAAAATGAACCGGGCTGCCTGGGTCCCCAGGACTCGGCAATGAGCCCCCCTCCATGTTGCCTATGGTTGTGACTTATACTCGACAGGGCTGGGCCTTGGGGTGGTCCTGGGTTGCTTATTTGCAGAGCACAGTGGTGGCTGGATTCACTTTCAGTGGGATTCAGTATTGAGCCAGGCTTTTGGCTTCTGGGTGCTTAAATTGTCACTGAGGTTTTGGAGTGTGTGAACAGTTTACTCTGAGGGTGGTGAAAATTAAAGAGTTTCGGCTGGGGCCCATCTGGAGGGGTGTACCCCTAACCACAATGGGTGCCCAAAGCAGGAGCCAGGTCTCTTTGCCTGCTAAGTTCCAACCTCTCAGAGGTCTTGTGATCACTCTGCCTGCCTCCTCCCAACCCCTGGAGGGCTGGTGGGAGCTTGGAGGATGGCAAGGTGTCAATGTGTGCACTGCTCAGCTAACTCCAGGGGGTGTCCAGGAGGAATTCATTGGTCTGACAGGTTTCCAAGTTGAAAATGGCTTTAGATTGCCTTCTAGATCATGGATTTGGCATCTCCTAAGAGGAAAGGAAGGAAGTGGAAGTCTAATGTGTCCTTAGTTCACCCCGGTCCGGCCTGAATCCTGCAGAGAGGGCTGTTGGGGAGGCAGGGGATCGCTCAGGGGAGGGGTGCAGGTGACTTAGGAGTGTTGGTGGGTACTTGGGTTTTTTTTGTGGCTTTCTGGCTCTTGGTAGCTTTGTGATGAGTTTGTGCATTTTGCTCTCTGCAGACAATTTTTGTTCTCTCTTTGGCCTGAGGCAGCAAGCACATTATACAGCCTCACTCTAGAAGGGAAGGCTCTCCATCCCCCAATCTGTCACAGAGCAGGTCACCCAGGACTGAGCTTTTTCCGGGAGGATGAGATGGGTGAGGACGGAGAGCTGGGGGCCTGGAGCAGGGAATTCAGGCCAGTGCAAGGAGGTGGAAACGCCGAGGAGTCAGTGTGCCAGGGCAGAATGTTGACTTCTAAATCCAAATACTACTGCCATTTAAGAAAGTGTTTACATACTTATTCTGAACTTTTAGAATAAAGTCTGATGTATGTATAAGAAAGTGCACAAGCTGAGTCCAGCTTACAAGTGTTCACAAAGTGAAGGCAAGCATGCAGCTGGCACCCAGGTCAAGAAAAAAGATGTGACCAGTCCCCTTCCCCCCGCAGCACCTCCCTCATGCCCCCTCCCAGTCATTCCCCTACAAGGGTAGCTGCTACCCTGATCTAACCGCAATTGGCTCATTTTGCTTCTTTGAACCTCCTGTAAATGGAGTCACAGGCTGTGTTATTCGGTATCTGGCTTCTTTAGCTTAACAAGATTCATCCATGTTGCTGTGAGTGGTTCTAGGCAGTTCCTTCTCATGGCTGTGTGGTATCTTACTGTGTGACTCTAACACAGGTACTTATTTTGAGGGTCACTGGGGTAGTTTCTAGATTGTGCGGTTGGGAACATTGCTGGACTCGTCTTTTGTTAAACTTTTCCTTTGCATTTCTCTTGGGCCTATACCTAGGGGTGGACTTGGCCCTGCCATTCTCTGGTACATGTGTTTTTGGAACCAGCATTAACTAAGGGTTGTCGTTGAATCTGGAAAGCAGCTTCCTCACCGTCCTTGGAGGAAGAGTGAGTGCAGGTTTCATGAACTTGGCTGCATGCGTCCTGGGCCTAAAAGTGTTACTTACAGCGTGGCACGCTGGTGGAGGGTGCAGCCTTGACTTCCCCATGCTCACAGGTACTTGGCCATTGTGACTTCTTACTCTTCTGCGCGCACACACACACACACACACACACACACCAGCAGTGCCAGCTTGAAGCCAGCAATGAGAATTAAGCATTCTCATTAATTTTATTTCTCTCTTCCTAAGTAAGAAAACCGAAATGGAAGTCGTGGATGTTCAGATTTACACTGCTGCTGCCTTTTGCTCTTGGAGTAAAAGCCGGGCAGCAAGCCATCTTGACCACACACCTTGGTTGCATGTTTTTGTTGATTGGAAGCCTGATCTAAAGATGGCTGTGACAGGCTCTGGTGACGGCTTCTAAGGAGCACAAATCTGTCAGCTCAAGAAGTTGCATCTGCCAACCTTCCTAGAGCCCCCACTTAATGCCACTCGCTCCTTCTGATGTGCCACCAAGCGCCACTGTGAATGTCATCTTCCCCCAGTCCTGCTGATGCCAGCAGATCTCCCACGGAGCAGGGTAGAGGAATTTGGGCCATTGCAAGAGCCATGCACCCAGGTCTGTGTGTTTGCACCCTGGGTCTCCTGTATCGCGTGTGGATTCTGGCTTCTCATCTGTGTGTTTTGGGAATCGCAACAAGAAGCCCAGAGTCCCACCACATCAGGTAACCTGTGGACATTGGCCGACTGCCATTCCCCCAGGTTTTTTTTTTTAAATGGAAGGCTCTTTAAAGACAACTGAGAAACAGAGGGAGCTCTGGGGGAAGTTGGAGCCCATCCTGAAAAGTAGAATGTGCTAGAAGATACTTCTCTAGAGGGCAGGACAGTATGATCTCTAGGTCCTTCGACTAGATCAGCATGGCTGGCATTTTCAGAAGAGCAAAATTCTGGGAAGTAAGAATTAGCATGGCTTTTTTTTTCTTTTTTCTTTTTTCTTTTTTTCTACAAAGGTGCCTTCCCTTCTCTGAAAAACCTACCTCGAACCGGCCGGAGTTTATAGTTTTAATGTACAGTCTGAATGTATCCCACCCAGCGTGCGTTTTGGTGTGTTTCATTGTAGAAATGATAGCTAGGCTTGATAATGGGGTACTTTGCCAGCCCCCCCTGGGAGTGTTATGTGTACATTGCTGTGCTTCTCAAATGTTCCTGTGCACGAGGATTATCTTGTTAAAGTGACGATCCTGGTCCAGAAGGTTTGGGGTGGGGCCTGGGATTCTGCTCTTCGAACACACTTCTAAGGGTTGCCCATGCTGCTAGTTTGTGGGTGACTCCTAGAGTATCTAGGTCATATCACAGATGCATCCTGTTACCTTTTTTTTCTTTTTCTTAAAAATCAGGTTTGTTGAGATAAATTAGCAAATTCACCCCTTTTAGCATACAGCTCTGTGAGTTTGAACAAATACATGCAGTCATGTAGCCACCACCAAAATCAAAGTAGGGAACAGTCTGTCACCCCAAATTACCCCCCTAACACCCCTTTGAGCCAGCTTCCCACTGCCAAAGCCCCTTGCTAGCACTAATCTGTTCTCTATCCTTACAGTTTTGCTTTTTCCAGAAGGTTATATAGACAGAATCCCACCGTGTGTAGCCTTTGAGTGTGGCTTCTTTCATGCAGCCTTTGCAATCCATTCATATTGTTGTGGTACCAGTAGTTCATTCCTTTTCAGTGCTGCATAATATTCCATGAGATGGATGGACCAGAGTCTGTTCATCCACTTCCTAGTTGAGGAACATTTGGGATGCTTTCAGGTCGGATGATTATGAATAGAGCCACTGTAAATGCTGGCAGATGGGTTTTAGTAGGAAGCATTGGGAGCCTACATTTCACTTCTCTTGGGTAAATAAGTAGCCAGGGGCAGGATTGCTGGGTTGTGCAGTAAGTATATGTTTAACTGTGTAAGAGACCGCCAAACTGTTTTGCAAAGTGGTTGTGCCATTTTAACATTCCTACCCTTGTTATCTTTCTAAAAAAGCATCGAGCTCTAAATGCCAAGGCACATGTGGCCTCAAGGGTTTAGGGTAAAGAATTGTGGGTGTGTAGAAAGTGCTGGAAGTGGTAGCATGAAGTGCCAGTCAGAGGAATAGGGAGAGTGAGAATGTTATCTGTAGCCAGGTGCCTGCACTGGTTTG